ACTTGGGAGGTGGTCACGGGTATATACTTGTACATAATATATGATACTTGTGGTGATTAAAGTCGGGTCGGCTTGTAGGAGTACCCACGAGTGATTCCGATGTTGGGGGCTGAAGGGGCAGGTGGCTCCATCCCGGTAGAGGTGGGCCTGAGTTCCCAAAGGCCCCCGACTGTTACTTTATGGCGGAGCGACAGGGCAGGTTGAGACCACCTAGGAGAGAGGTGGGCCTGGCCCTGGTCGGCGTCCGTGGTTATTTCCAAATAACACGCATAACGAGATCTTGGTATTTGATCTGAGTCTGGCTACTGGCCTATACGCACTAACCATCTACGCGGGGACAGTTATGGGCACTCGACATCGTGGTATCAGCCGAAGCCTTTGTGACGTCAGCGACTAAGCGGCGCGCGCCGGGTTGGACCGCGTAACACAACTTCCTTTGTAATGGAGGTTGCTAGGTCTACTCTCCGGTCGCGTACGCAACGTGCAGGTGTGCAATGGGCGATGGGCCCAGACCCCTGCGCCATAGGATTTAGACTGGCGTGCTGACCTCTTTGTTGTGCCTAGGTAGGGCTGTGACGTGTTGATCTTCTGAGGCCGGGCATGACCCAGGAAAGTGTGTCCGGCCAAATGGGATCAAGCGTGTTGGGTTATGTGGTGCACCCCTGCAGGGAAGTTAAACTATTCGAATAGCCATGATCTTCGGTAACAGGACGACTTGGAGTTGTACCTTGACCTTATGACAACTAGAACCGGATACTTAATAAAACACACCCTTCCAAGTGCCAGATACAACCGGTGATTGCTCTCTCACAGGGCGACGAGGGGAGGATCATCGGTTAGGATTGTGCTATGCGATGATACTTGGAGGACTTCAGTCTACTCTCTCCTACATGCTGCAAGACGGAGGCTGCCAGAAGCGTAGTCTTCGAAAGCGCTAGCTATCCCCCTCTTATTCCGGATTTCTGTAGTCCAGTCCACATATAATAGCCTTATTCCAGTTGATACCAATGCATACATATGTAGTGTAGCTCCTTGCTTGCAAGTACTTTGGATGAGTACTCACGGTTGCTTTTCTCCCCCTTTTCCCCTTTCCTATACCCGATTGCTGTGACCAGACGTTGGAGCCTAGGAGCCAGACGCCACCGTCGACGACGACTACTACTACACTGGGGGTGCCTACTACTACGTGCAGCCCGCTGACGATGACCCAGGAGTAGTTTAGGAGGATCCCAGGCAGGTGGCCTGCGCCTCTTTCGATATGTATCCCAGTTTGTGCTAGCCTTCTTAAGGCAAACTTGTTTAACTTATGTTTGTACTCAGATATTGTTGCTTCCGCTGACTCGTCTATGATCGAGCTCTTGTATTCGAGCCCTCGAGGCCCCTGACTTGTAATATGATGCTTGTATGACTTATTTTATTTGTAGAGTTGTGTTGTGATATCTTCCCGTGAGTCCCTAATCCTGATCGTACACGTTTGCGTGGATGATTAGTGTACGGTCAAATCGGGGGTGTCACAGTTTGGAACCTTCTTTTTACCATTTTCCTCAAGAGCATGAGGATCTCGAGACATATATGTCCATATCTATCATCTAAGATCTCATCTATCATAGCGCACTCATAACTCATGACACAAAAGTCAAAGATTCTCTAGCTTCTCGCACTATAAAATCAAATTCATTCACGGGGATAATTGTAGCTATCTTTTTAGCCTTAGGATCACTTATAACTAGTGACTCGAAGAATAATCTTTGCAAAGTGGGACGAGTATGCATGAATCTTCTTTCAAGTTTAATAATAGGTGCAGAGATAGCATTGGCATTACTATTGTTTCTTTGAAGAATAGGAATATCATTGGACACCAATGTTCCTGCACAAGTAAAGAACTCTTGAATGATACTTTTCCTTATAATATTCCCACTTCTCGTCATAAAAGTTTTAGTATCCAAATTAACGGGAGTTTCATTCTCATGAATTTTGCTATCCTCACTCCCACCTTTAGCGATAACAAATTCACACATGATAGCAAGTAAGCAAGCAAACAAAATATTTTTGTGTTTTTTGATTTTTAGAGAAGTGGGGGGAGATGAAAAAGAGAGGCAAATAAAAAGTAGAGCAAGTTGATGATAGTTTGAGTGTAGGTACTTGTAACTATTGGTTCTTTTAAGAATAGGAATATCATTAGACACCAATGTTCCTGCACAAGTAAAGAACTCTTGAATGATACTTTTCCTTATAATATTCCCACTTCTCGTCATAAAAGTTTTAGTATCCAAATTTACGGGAGTTTCATTCTCATGAATTTTGCTATCCTCACTCCCACCTTTAGCGATAACAAATTCACACATGATAGCAAGTAAGCAAGCAAACAAAATATTTTTGTGTTTTTTGATTTTTATAGAAGTGGAGGGAGACGAAAAAGAGAGGCAAATAAAAAGTAGAGCAAGTTGATGATAGTTTGAGTGTAGGTACTTGTAGGTATTTGATGATGTCTCCCCGGCAACGGTGCCAGAATTTCTTTCTGCTACTTGTGAGCTTCATTGGAATCTTCCCCAAAAAGGAAGGGTGAAGCAATATAGTAGCTGATAAGTATTTCCCTCGATGAGAACCAAGGTTATCGAACCAATTGGAGGACCACGCAAATCCTAGTGAATAGCACCTGCACACACAAAAGCAAATACTTGCACCCAACGCGGGCAAGAGGGCCGACAATCCCCTTGAACTCGTTACTTGCAAGGATTAAATCTGGTAGTGGTAGATAGATAAAAAGTAAATAAATAAATTGCAGCAAGCTATTTTTGGTTTTAGTAATATGACTAAAGTAGACCCAAGGGCCATAGTTTTCACTAGAGGCTTCTCTCTCAAAACAATAGCATACGATGGGTAGACACATTACTATTGGGCAATTGATAGAAAAGCGCATAGTTATGATGTTATTCATGGCAATGATCATGTATATAGGCATCATATCAGTGACAAGTAGACCGACTCCTGCCTGTATCTACTACTATTACTCTACCAAGCGACCGACTCATGCCTCCATCTATGGTATTAAGTTCATGACAAACAGCGTAACGCTATAAGCAGGATGACATGATCTGGATAGAATAAAACTGAGCAATATGATTAAACTCCGTTGTTTTACCCTTAATGGCAATAGTAAAAATACGTGTATCGCTACCCCTTCTGTCACTGGATGAGGACACCGCAAGATTGAACCCATTACAAAACACCTTTCCACTAAAGATAAATCAATCTAGCTGGCCAAACCAAACGGATAGATTGGAGAGAAATACAAAGTTGTAACAATCATGCATAATAAAGTTCAGAAAAGACTCAATTACTTTCAATGATAATCTGGTCATAAACCCACAATTCATCGGATTCCAACAAACACACCGCAAAAGAAAATTACATCGGATAGAACTCCATGGAGATGATGGAGAACATTGTATTAAAGATCAAAGAGAGAGAGAGAGAGAAGAAGCCATCTAGCTACTAGCTACGGGCCCGTAGGTCTGTGGTGAACTACTCATTCATCATCGGAAGGGTGGCAAGGTTGATGTAGAAGTCCTTCATGATCGAGTCCCCCTCTGGCAGAATACCGGAAAAGGCCTCCAGATGGGATCGCGGAAGAATAGAAGCTTGCAGCGGAGTAAATGTTGTTTCGGGTGGCTCTATTAGGTCAGATGGAGCCAGTAGGGCCCACAATGTATCAGGGC